CCTTGTGGACACATGAGAGTTAAAGCTCTTAAACATTATAACCTTCTGCTTCCAAACTAAAAACCATTCTAATGAGCAACAGTCTGATATTTATTCCTGTTTGCTGTCTACTTTTTTACACCAGAAAGTGATTTTTTTTTTTTAGACTAGCTGTGAGTTGCATGATGACAGCGGTGCTCAGAGTTTGTAAAAAGCTGATTGGTTCTCCTGTAGGGAAAAGATCACTGAACTCAGTGAATGGATGCGTCAGCTGGAGTCTGAGAAGTTCGACCACATGGAGAGACTGAAGCTGCAGAAGTACGAGGTGAGAAGAGCTGATTACTCTGCTGCCTCACACACATCATTTGGACATAACAGACCCCAATGGTCAAAAAAGGTTATAATAATTACATTTTGTAACTAAAACTGCAGAATGAATGATGCAGGATTTTTTCTAAACACAGATTTTACGTGACGTCTTTATTTTGTTAGTGTTGAAATATTGATTCAACTTAATTCAGTTCATTTACAGCAACAATTCACAAGATCTGATTTATACACAGAAACATTAAATCAATCCTATAAAATATAATAGACAAGTTCAAATTACAAACATTCTAACTGAATCCCAGTTATTATACAGGCATCTAATAGTGGATATATTACATATTACTATTTATCTGATGTTATTTGTTCAGTTTTACTCCATCTGATGCAGAAAAAAGGAAACTAAATCTGATTATTTCTAGTATTTGCTCTGATTTTGTTTTTACTATTTTGAAATTTATTCCTTAAAAAGTTTTTGATATGAAAGAGCTCCAAAACATGAAAATTTAAAGCTTGTGTGTGCGCGTTTGTTTGTAATACCTTGTGGGGACGATTTTCCTGACATATACTACGTTGTGGGGACCAATTGCTCCTTGTGGGGACCGGAGCCTGGTCCCCACAAGGGGAAACCCTGTTTTTGGGTCAGGGGTCAGAGTTAGGGCTAAGGTATGAATTGAGTTTTGGTTAGGGTTAGGGTTAGGTATATGATGGTTAGGGTTAGGAAAAGGGTAAAGGTAAGGTTTAGGCTGTAGAAATGAATGGAAGTCAACAGAAAGTCCCCATAAAGATAGCAACACAAACGTGTGTGTGTGTGTGTGGGTGTGCGTGCGTGCGTGCGTGCGTGCGTGCGTGCATGCGACATCTCCACCTGCTCTGCTGTATGCTCCGTCCTCCATCACCTCATTATTTTCTGAGATTAAAATTCTTTTTAATTTTCTTTTCAGGTTACAAGACTGCGCAAGAGAGTGGAAGAGCTCAGTAAATTGTAAGTCACAAAAATGATGTTGTTCCTGCATGTCAGACAACAGTGAGAGAGACACTACAGTTTCCCAGAATCACTTTGTTACCATGGAGACTAAACCTCCACTCATGAGTTGGCTAAAGAAAGTCAGAGCTGGTGACTGGGGCAGTGTGGATCTGTTGCTGGGGTAGATTTCCTGCAACCTGGAAGTGGAGAGTTTCATTCCAGCGTCTTCGTACGTCACTGTGACCCTGAGTGAGGCACTTCACCCAAAGCTGTGCATTAGTTGTGAATGAGTGAACGTGGATTCAATGTAAAACACTTTGTTTGTAGAACTAGAAAAGGCGTCAGTTGACCTTTGTTGACTCAGCATCAGATTTTTATTGTTTTCTTATGTTAAAGTTGGGGACAGCTCCTTTAGCTGAGATCATCTTTGAGTTTTTGTTGCAGTTTGCAGGTTGTATTAAAGCTGTAATTGGTTTAAAAACAATATTTTTATGTTTGGCCACCCCTCCAAAAACGCGTTAGGTCGCAACTTTTGAGTTTACTTGCGGTTCTCCTTTTGGTGTCGAACTGTTTGGTCATTAGTCGTGTATGTTGGCAGGGAATCAGACAGGTCAGTTAGAGCCTGCTGGGAAATCAAGGCGTATAGCTGGAGGTGTTTATAATGAGACTGGTGCTGTAACACCAGTTTATAATGAGAGTGATGCTGTAACATCACACAATTAAAGCCAACAATGGATTTAATTAGACTCTAAGATTAATGTTTTATAATGCTTATATTTTCCTTTTCCCGGTATTTGGCTAACATAGAATTGAAGGAAAAAACAGGATTTTCAAATTTTTCAAAACATTAAAAGTTGATTGTATGGCATGTTTAAATTTTAGATACTCACATAGCCAATCTGCTTGTGCATAAAAAAGAACACACACACACACACACATATATATATATATATATATAAGAATATTTTTTTTTCACTTTACATATCTGCTCCCCAGTTCACGTACAAAACATAGTAAAAACTAACAGACTTAATAAAGAGGATAATTTGCGAAAAAGGTTTGAAGTTTCATATTGTCCAAAACATGCTTCATCTTCTGATGTGTTAACTCTCAAAATTAGGTTTAACCTCAATATAACTATGAATCGACTAATTAGTCAATAAAATATTTCAGCCAATTAATCGATGATTAAATGTGAAAGGAAGGAGTAAAGCCTTCTGTGATTAAATAAATGTATTTACAGCACACTGCTCTCTACCTACAAATGTTCATACATGCTTTAAAATGGTGCCACAAAACTTTGGTGAATCTGTTTGCCTTTATGTTTCACCAACATGGCGTCTTTGGGACAAATGAGACACAAGTTGCTCCTGTTTGGAATTAAAAATGTGAAGCCACAGCTCTGACACGTCTCCCTGTTTTCTGTTTGGAATTACAGCAGCAAGAAAGGTGCTGCAGCCCGCCGCAGAAAGTAGACAGGCTGAACCCACGAGTGCTTGCAAACCAAACTCCCATCACCATGGACACACGCAGGATGAAGCAAATCACACTGTGGAGAAGGTTGCACCTCTGAAGAAACTAGTAACGCTGAGGTTCGCCCTGCGGTTTCTCAGCCATGTCCTGAAGAAACAAGGAGCCTTTAGCCACCGTTTAATAGGAAGAAAACACTACTCAACATGCTTGCCATCACGCCTCCTCACCCTCAACTCTGTGGTTCTCAGTAATTTTGTAAATAAAGTGTGACTCTTCAAGCCATGTCTGTAGTTATCAGAAGCCAATAAAGTTCCGTCTTTTCAGATGTGGAATCTTAAAGTCATCTGTTCAGCTCTTATTTCATTTTTGCCGAGCCGATTCTAGTCTTCGGTCAAAAGCTCCAGTCATTTGGAACATGCTTTTTTACTTTAGTCAGCCTAAATTAAATTATTTTCAAGGGTCTGCAGTGCAAAAGAGCGCAACATATTCAAGTATGTTGCAGTCTTTATATATATATATATATATATATATATATTCTTTATATATAAAGAATGTTGCTTATAGTCTTAAGAGTGCAACATATTCAAGTATGTTGCACTCTTTTGCACTGCAGACCCTTGAAAATAATTTAATTTAGGCGGGGATGTAAAAACTTCAGATCACTTCAGATCAATATATTACATGGCTCAGCATAGAGAACATTTTCAAATAAAATTTTAAGTCTGTCCTGCTGATTTTTTTAAATTGATGACAATTCTTATGCTTATTTAATATTTCGTATGATGAGATTTCAAGTGTTGTGACTGTAATTTATTCATCAGTAGTTTTAGAGAACAGGAACAGCTGGGTGTGATACAACAACACTTCCAACTTTCTGCTGACAACAGGAAACCAAGTGTCAACTTTGTTCAAAGGCAACATCCACGTTGACTAGGAGTCGTCTGGAACAGACCATGACTATGGGAACATGGATTGTTTTCAGAGTATTACAGATAAGTGGCCCTAGGAAACCAAAACGTGGTATGTCAGAACCAGTCGAAGTTCTGACTCTCTCTCTCCATCAGACTTTACATTTAAATAACACCTCACTGTTTTCATTAACACGCAAAGAGTTGCTCCTCTAACCAATAAAGCAGAAAAAAAAAGTTTTATCGAATTTCTCCCAATACAGTCAAATATAGTTTTATTGTAAGCAGGTTTAGCCTGTTACATATGAAACTAGACTTTTATTGTCTAAACAAAAGACTATCAGCAACATATGAAGAGTTTATGTTGCCTCTGTTTTCCAAAATCTTTACTTTTATTTCAAATGAAGCCCTAGGCGAAAATTCAACCTGTAAGACTCTTCCGGCATCACCTATCACCACGCCTTCACCCCAGCCAATCAGGACGCACCACCTCTCTACCTCGATCCAATCAAGTGACAAGAGCTCCTTCAAAAAGGCAAAGCAACTACTTCAGCTGTGTTTCAACCCACCTCCTCCCCGTTTCCACCACCAACCTCCTAGACGCCTCCAGGCAGTGGCGCAACTACACATTATTCAGGTGGATGCGAAAACATAAATTATGGAATTGAGAAACACTGCTCTACAGATTGAAATAGATTAACATGTTTCAAGCTGTTTTGTCCAAAATGGGCTGGTAACATTTTGTCACATTCTAATGTGTTTCAGAGAATTGGACACACATTGATGAGCGATCAAAGCCTTATGACTAAATATCTTATTTTATAACAACTTACCTGAAATCCAAAAAATAGTTTTAAAAGCTTAAAAAAAACTGTACTTTCTCAGTTTTACCAGCAGATGACTCTGTCGACATCCTTCCTTTGTCAAAACCTGCTGGTCTGTGTGTGAGTCAAGTATCACCCATCCAGAGGTAATTATTTTAATCTTTAAGTAAAATGTCTTGAAATGTGATAAAATATCAACGTCAAGCTTTTTGTATAAATAAGCCAGTGGATTTATTTACCTTAAAAATTTCACACAGTTTTCAGCAGTATAAATATAAAGGTGGCAATTTCCTCACAACAACAAACAATACAAACTGGAACATTAAATACAAATGCATGACTTCACATGAAACAAATCAGCTCTTATTTACACGATATGTACAGAAACAAGAACTAAACGAAACTGTATGGTCCTGACTGAGACTTCCGGGTCTGGATTTGACAGGAGTTTAAAACCAAACAATAAAACACAAACAGTAGATTACTTCTCCAACTGCTGCTTGGTCTGTCTCTATTATTTTGTCAGTAGGTTTTCTCTGAAGAAGTTTTTTTTTGTTTGTTTGTTTTGTTTTGTTTTGTTTGTATTTTCAGATCTACTGGAGCCTTCAGGACTTCAGAAGGAAGGATGAGAGTAGAGGAATGTTACTGGATGGTTTTCAGACTCATTTCATCAAATGAACAAACTAATTCTTTTTTCATATAACTTAAATAGAAAAAAAAAGCTATTAGGATAATAATATTGAATCCACTCACTTAACCCAAAAAGTGGAATAATCATCTATGGTGAGAAAATAAATTATTCTTATCAGTTTAGCATTTATACGACCAACCTCCTGGAACCAAAGTAGTGACAAGTTTCTACTTAGTTATCTCTTCAACAGGGACAAAACATGTACATATAATAATAATAATAATAATAATAATAATAATAATAATAATAATAATAATAATAATAATAATAATAATAATCGGTTTGGTCTATTCACTTAATTTTTAGATTTTTTTTACTTGGAAAAAATTTTTGAGGTTCATGAAGTTCATGTTATGAAGCTTGGGCGCAAATTCAATCTGGAAGACTCTTTAGCCTCACCTGCCTCATTAATCAGCGCCTCCCTTTCATCACCCTGGACCTATCGGCGCTGGACTAAGCCTTCATCATGGCCAATCATCGATCAAGCTCCAGTTGATAAGGACCTTCATCCATGGCCTCCTCCGCTTACCAGCTGCGATCAACCCATCTCAGTCCCATCTCCACCTTTAGCTCCCGGCTCTTCAGGTCACATCCTTCTTCGACCTCCGCCACCAGTATAGGCCCCGGGGGGATTACATTCCTATGCAGCATCAGTAATGTTTATCAAGCTTATCGAAGTCCAGCTCGACGTCCTCGGCCGGGGCCTGAACGCCAAAGCACTTTAATGTTTATTTGTCATAGAACTTTTTAATCGCTTTCTTTCTCTGTCTGAGTCTCTCCAGATTGAATAAAGTTTCAATTAAGACTAGTGAAATATGAAATCACATTAAATACAATTTCAAATCTATTTAACAAAATGTCCACTGTCCTTTGATAAAAACTTTGACAGGTTTAGTTGAGTTAAATTAGTTTTTTCTTCCCGGCAGGAAAGAGCGTTGACATGATGTAGAGGGATGCGTGTCACACTGCTAACAGCTGCCGGAGACTCTTTAAAAGCAGAATAATGAGGCCATTTTGTTACAGTACGTGTTTTCCAGTAATAACTCTACAATAAGGTAGCGTGCTGCATTCCAGCGGGGCTGAGCAGGAGGCTCTATAGGACTTGGTAGGTGAGGTTTGGATCCTGGTTGTCGAGGGAGGAGGGGATCTGGGTGGGCTCTCGGGCCTTTCCTGCCTCGCTGAGCGGAGCTGCGGAGGTCGGGGAGCCGTAGGCTTCAGGTCCGGGCTGCAGGCTGCTGCCGTCCGTGGAGATACGCTCCACAATGCTGGACAGGCAGTCCAGACTGGAGACCACTGAGCTGCGACCCCTCTTCGGACCAGCTGCACAGAGATTTTATACAAATACATTTATTGATACTTTTATTAAAATTTGCTGTAAATTGATTTGTTGCTCCCCCACACGCGCCCCATGTGCTACAAATAAAGTTACTTGATTTTATTATTATTATTATTATTATTATTATTATTATTATTATTATGTAATTGGGTTCTTAAATTTCTGACTTTAATGCAAAACATTTTCATTCTGAATTTCCCCCCGATTTAACTTAGTTATAAATGATGCGACTGGAAGTGGTTCAAATTCATAACCAGTTAAATATAATATTCCATAACACTCATTTGATTGATCGAAAGGCTCTGAGAACCGTGTGTCTCACCGTTTAGCGTCTCAGAGAAGAAAGAGCTGCTGTCAAAGCTTCTTGTTCTGCTCGGTCCGTTAAAATCCATCTGGAAGGAAAAGAAAGGCCGCTTACTGACGTCAGACAGCATTTTCACCGGAAAAGTGAAAATGGTCTCCGGAAGTATTTTTCCGGAGACCAGTTTTTACATAAACGTTAGTGTTTGACTTTCTTTAAGTGAAATAAAACAAAACTACCATCTAGTTCGTTGACTGGACGTATTTCAAAATAAATCACACATCCTGTGCCTATGCTGAAATGTTATTACCAAATCATGTCTCGTTTTTATGTATTTCTGCTGTTGATACATTTTAACACTTAACATCTTAATATATTTCTCCATAAACGTTTAGATTAAAATGCGCATTTGAAAAGAATGGGGAAAAACAAATATCATTTTAGTTAATTCAGAAAACACCAATCAAAAGAAATGTTCTCAAGTTAATATTATAATAATAACTATATTATTATTATTATTATTATTATTATTATTATTATTATTATTATTATTATTATTATTATTATTATCAGCATACCAGGTGTGTCTGTGTTGTACTGTCTGCTTCATAAATCACAAAAGTGGACTAAAAAATAAACAAAAACGAATAATCGAAAGCAGGTCAATGCAGGTGAACGGGCATTTAAAATGTCAAATACCCGTTTGACATTTTAAGTAAAAATAAAATAAAATAAAATAACGTGTACCACCAATCAAGCACCGGTCATTTTATACTGTTCGTTGAAATTAAAATAGTCTAATAGGAAGGAAAGTTATGACTGGCCTGGGACGGAAACAGGTAGGTTGAAAGCTAAAGATCGTCGGTGCGTAAAAGCGCACCGCGCGTTCCCGGACTCACCATCCCATCGGAGCAGTTGGAACGGGGACTGGACGCGTCTGAGTCCCCGCTGTAATGCTCCAACACCGGGTAGAAGCCTTCCTCCTGGCCGCCGCGCAGGAGCGCCTGCAGAGATTCGATGTAGCTGATGGCGTTCCTCAGAATCTCCACCTTGGGAAGCCTCTGGTTGGGGTTGGCCGTCGTGCAGCGCTTCAACGTCTCGAAGGCGTCGTTCACTTTGCTGAGCCGCCGGCGTTCACGCAGCGTCGCCGCCTTCCGTCTGTCCGCGTTGGTGGTCTTCCGCTTGCAAGCCTTGCAGGCCCACAAAAGGCAGCGGCCCGCCTGGTGGTGCCCGCTGGGGACGCGGACGTGCTCGTCGTCCTCAGCCTCCGGGTGCTGGAGCTGGTGATGCAGGTGGGAGCACGGTGAGGGCGATGATGAAGACGAGGAGGAGGAGGGGGAGCAGGAGTCCTCGGGTTTCAGCGGGACCACATGCACCAACCGCGGATCCAGGTCCTCGAAGAAATGCATGTCAGTGGTGTTAAAGCAGGGGTCATCATAGAAGTCATCAGCAGAGGGAATGGAGAAGGAAATATCCGACAGCTCCATGAGTGAGTCCAACCCAGAGCAGAGCAGGAGACAGATCCGCCGGAGCAGAAACCAATAGCCCGCTTTCAGTCGATGTGAAGTGTTCAGGCAACAGCGAAGAAGAAGAAAGAAGAAGGAAGAAGAAGAACAAGAAGAAGAAGAAGTGTCGTTTGATTCCTGTTCTCATAGCAGCTGTCAGCCTGGGGTCCCTGCATCTTATACATGGCCCCGCCGCAGCGGGCAGGGTCAGGGTACTTGGGGTCCGCCTGGATTTGACCAATCTGCTGCCAGCAGGAGGGGTTTACAGATTCACGGTAATTAGCTCAGTCCTACAATTAACTCAAGAGGAGATTTAAAAAAAAAAAAAAAGTGCAGAAGGAGCCAGAAACCCGCAGCCGCACAACACGGAGACAGAAACAGCGCAAATGGTCATACCGGAAACAGCTCTGCATGATTTATTTTGTTTTTCGTTTGATTTTCATTAATGTTGCATCATTTTACAAGACAATCCGTGCAAGAAATGAACCGGATCAAATTTGATCTGGTAAATTATGAAAGAGCAAGTGCAAGATCATTGTTAAAAATTATTCTCATTGTAATTCGATTGTAAAGTTGAGTGTAATTGGATCAGAGAACTTTTGTTTGTTTGTTAAATGAAATCTGAATTGAATCCATTATGATTGTAAAATGGTTTGAAAAATCATAGGGTAAATATTTGAACCATTATTTATTGTAGTATAAATTTAAACTAATCATAAAAAAATCTTGAGATAATATCAGAAATTATAGTAAATACAAGTTATAATGTCGGGCTTTGTGGGAAATAGTTCCTCAATAATCTAAATTGTAAATCTTGTAAAAAGGAAAAGGTGTTTTAGAATATAATAATAATAATAATAATAATAATAAAAATAATTATTATTATCATTATTATTATCATCATTAATAGTAATACTAGTAGTAAAAAGTAATATGTGGTCATACTATTTTTGGAAGCAGTCATATGAGTACAAATACAATAAACTTAATGAATTATTTCTCAACCAAACTCTAAAACTTCACTAAACTCTAATACTTCACTCCATCCCAACTCAGAGAAGCTCGTGTTCATATTGGAAACACGTCCACGGAGAATGTAAACGCTACATGAAAAAACAAAACAAAACAAACAAACAAAAAAAAAAACATCTAATGTCAGGGCGTATTTTTAGACAGATGAAGCTCCCCTCCCCTTCGGAGGTGGGGTGGAGGGGGTCGTTCTCCTCCGGCTCCCTGCAGCCCACCCCTCAGCTGTGCAGTTTCATCCATAATTCAAAATTTCCACTCACAGTGAACACTGATTTGTTTTTCGTTTTTCTGCGGATGTAGGGAGTTAACCTTCCAAACACGACAGAAACAGCAAAGTTACATATAACTCTGGAAAACTTAAGATATAAGAAAATAATTATCTTAAAAAATGAAGAGCCCACTGCACTGAACCCCACTGAAAACCTCGTTGTTATTGCACCAAATATTGATTTCTGAATTCTTCCTGAGTTCAAACATTAGTATTGTTGTTTCTAAATTAACATGAACTTGTTTTCTTGCATTATTTGAGATCTGAAAGAACTGCATCTTGTTAGTTTAACCATTTCTCATTTTCTGCAAATAAATACTTAACTTTTGATTGGAACCTCAGAGATTTGTTATTAGTTTATAGAATAAAAAAAACAATGCTCATTTTACTCAAACATATACCAATAAAAAGTAAAATCAGAAAAACTAATCTAAGTTGTCTCTAATTTTAAGTTGTCTCTTTTTTTTTCCAGAGCTGTATCCTACCCTGCTAAACATAATTCAAGGAAGTATTAAATATTCTAGTAGTTTGATTTTAAATATTCTACGTAGTTTGATTGTCTCTGCTTTCTACACTCACAATTGGCATATCTCATATTATATTTTCTGCATAAATTAATCACACTTTCAGCTTCTGGATTTCTGAATAAAAATGAATGCACCTGCATTACCTTCCAAACCTAAGCCATACACTGTAAAACATTTAAAGGTGGGTTAACTTGAAGATGAAAATCCACCTGCTGCCTTGAAAATACAATTAAAGTCAACATGAAAATTGTATTGGTTTCTCACTCAGAAATTAAAGTTCATGAAGTTGATTTAGCAAGAAGAAATAAGTCTAAATGGGTTTTTTAAGCTTTAAGTTTGTTAATCTTGAACTGTGAGTTTTAACTTAATGCTGCAGTTTAAACCAAATAATTATTCCACAACATACAAGAAAAAACTGCCCTCTACTTAATCCATAATTAAGTAGATGATTATAGATTAATCATCTAATTATTTTCACTCACAATGTCAAGTTAAAATAACTATTTTACCTTATAATAACCCATTTAACATTTAGAATAATTTAACTTCTGTTTTCAAATTGCACGAACAAAATTTCTGATCTGATAATGAATTTTATTAACATCACAATGAATTCTTCTCAGAAACATTTTGTGTGAACAGGACATTATCCACAAGCTTTGCAAACTGTCAGTTGCATTAAAATAAACACTTGCCTTAATAACACACAAGAGTCAGATCAATATAACACACACAGGATACAAAAATATGCTGCTAAGCACTCTGGGAAATAGTTCCTCCTGTATTTTTCTTCTTTCAGTTTTTTTAACTGCTAAAAATTCTAGTTTATTCAACTCTTGGAGGTATTAAGTCACAAAACTTCAATACATTAATTCCCTATGTAAAGTATGAATATAATAAACACATTTCTAGGAACTCTCTCCATTAAATGTCTTTTTGAGGAGGAATCCTTCAGATTGTAGTGAGAGCCTTGGTGGGACTGAGTTCTGCTGCTCTCATTGCTAACTTTAAGTATTTTTCTTATGAGAATGCTAGCATCACATTATTAGCAATATGTACTGCTAACGTCTATATATATCTACTAGTTGATTGCTGTTATGTACTATTCGTTATAGGTCTGAAACTTTGCTAAATCTATTTTAAATTCAATAGTCAAGTTGGCAAAGCTCAAAATACTTTGGAGCTCAGTCAGATTATCTCCATATTTTGTCTTGTTGACTCATCATTTATGAGTAACAGAAAGAAATATGACATGACTTGTGGTACACAACACTAGAACACGAGAAATTTAACAGGTGTCAGAGAATTGTGTTGTGCTAATCTCGGGTTTAGCTGACTAATAAAGTTGGGGCAGAGAACGGTCAAAGGCCATGCTGTGACAAACCAACACCACCACCGATTCATCAGCCACCTGGAAACAACATCATCACCGCTCTATCTCTGTGGCAACATTAATCTTTCCACTTTTCTGGAACGATTGGGGGGGGAACTTTAGGTTGTGGTGTGTTTAAATGTACAATCTGACCTGCTTACTTTAAATGACTTAACCTGCTTCCATATCTTTGTTATTTAGATTCAAATTACTAAGTTGGGGCACAACTTGATTATAAAGGAAGAAAGCAAAATAGTTATTTCTTAGTTATTGTTTAGCAATTATCTGATCATTTAGAATAATACAAAAGTGACTTAAGTCAAAACAAAGACTCTAATATTTGTCTGATTAAACAGTCTCTTAAGTTCAAAGAACCAAAGAACCTTAAATAACAATATTGATTGTCTATGAGCATCAACGGTTCACTGACTAAGCAGCATGAGGCTAAGCTGCTCATGCTATAGTAGCTGTCAGCCACATGTAGCTTAGCTGCCATTAGATTTAAGAAAATGGGACATCTTAGAACTATCTGATGTAACTCAGCGGTCAAATAAGGGGACAAAATTAGCAATAAAAGAGAAATTCAACTAACATTTAAAACACTCGTTGGAAAGAAGTTTGAACAATCCAAATTCTTTATTAGTTTTAAACACACCAAGCTCTCAGGCCATTTTTTCTGGAACACTTCCAAGTTTTTAATGGAAAAACACATCAGAAATGCAGAATAAAAACACTTACACTGGTCTTCCTAAGATATTATTTCTGCAACCTACTGTGAATAGAGTTCCAATGAACAAGGTGGGCTGAATCGTTCACCTGGCTGCATCTTTGTCAGAAACCAGGAGACAGCTAGCTGCTCGACTTAGAGCTTGGAGTGTGTTTTACGGCAAGAAGACTACAACATAGCGTTTTTAGCTCCACATCAGGCTGGCATAAGTGTCCTGCAATGGTAAAGTGCTGCTTCTCAGCTCAGGTTCTCAAAATAATCAGAATTATTAGTGGCAGCTATGCATGGCTAATACAGGTCAGCTTGAACAGCTGAGGCATCCTGTTGGCTCCTGTCTGGCTATCAGACAGTCATACTCAGCGAAGCTGTGACTCTCAGCTCTGGAGTTCAATAGGCTTTTTCATCTTCTTCTTCAAAGGGGCTAGCAACCAGTTTTGGGTTGCTGGCAGCAATTTTGGGGAACCTGTAATTCCAAGGTTCCTTTTGCAGAATTCTGAATAAAACCAGGATCAAGGTTTAATCCTTCTGCTGTGATTAGGTACTGGATGTACTAACAGTGACATGTATTTTTGGATCCTTTGCTCCTGGGCAGCCTTCCTCTGCTGGCGCACTTTGTCCAATGTAGCAGAAAGAGATAAGTATTATCCTAGACCTGGGTTATCTAAACAAGGTTGTACATTTAAGATGCTCTAGTTAACTAGAAAAAAATGTTTACTAGATTAATAAATTCAATAGTCAAGTTGGCAAAGTTTGAAATACTTTGGAGCTCAGTCAGATTCTCTCCATATTTTGTCTTGTCTTACTGTTAAACTAGCAGAGCCCAACATTGAACATTAGGGGATGGAGCAGGATTGAAAACTAAACGTTTCCTAACCTGGGACGTTTTTTTTTCAGCTTTTGAGAGCTTTAATCTATAATAGCTCCTAATTTGCTTAGGAGCTATTATTTCAGAAATCAACATCTTCTACCATTATGATAATATGTGATTTTACAGATTCAAATTCAGGTACATATATTACAATTTGATCCTGGTCGTAGTACAATGTAATCAAATGTAGCCTCTTCCTGAGCAAGCAAGCAGCAGCAGCGGGAAGGAATGACTCACTTTTTATAAATGATATCTCTGAGCGGCATCTGCATGCGTGTGTGTGTGGTGGTGTTAAACACTCAAGTAACTTTAAACACTCTGCTGAGTATGTCATACAG